TCCTCGTATCAAAGAAATAATAAATGGAGCTAAAAGGATTAGCACTCCTATTATTACAGCAGAACTTGAGTGTGATTATAATGAGAATTCTGCACGAGTGGTGAAAAGTCGAATTGAGAAAACTGTTCTAGGGCAGGTATATAATTAATTTATTTAAAAGAATTTCTGTTATCTTGTTTTCCAGAACTTTTTTCCTTACAGCTTCTCAATCTTTTCTTCTTCATCTTTTTTTCGTTTTAGTTGGATAAGATCTTCCTGATTCTTACATATTGGTGGTTTTATTTGATAAAAAATGTCTTATTACAATTTAGGAATCTGAAATAGTTGGTGCTTATCTCCCGTCAATAGCTGTTTGGTCATTATTGGTCCTTGCGAATTAATTGCTTTGTGGGATTTGGTTACTGCATAGTCTCAGTCCCTCTCGTCAGCTGCTCTTTTTTTTTCCTCTTTCTCTTAGAGCTTTAGGGTCCCTTGCATGTGATTTTTTGGACCTTGGCAGCTATAGATTTCTTTTGATCGTTTATTTGTTTCCTTTTTTTGTAATTTTAATCTAACTACATGGATTTGTCTTCCCACCATTTCTGTGTCTGTGTTGGATTTTGTTGACCTTTTCAACCATCTTGTGCTTTTGCAGGTAGCTAAGAGTATCAAGATTGTGATGACTTCAAGGTTATCATCAATAGTCATCACGCTTGATATGCAAACAATTCAAGATGCACATCTATGTATAACTGCTGATGTTGTGAAAGAATCAATTTTACAAACTCCAAGAATAAAACTGAAAGAACAGGTGAAGATTTGCAATGGTGGTTTTTAATAATCTGATACCTAAACTTTTTCCTAACATTTCATATCATGGTCATGTTATGTGCAGCATATCAAGGTTTTAGATTTTAGAAAGTTGGAAATTTTTCCTCCCACTGAGAAAAGTAAAATTCATTTTGAACTCCATTCTCTGAAAAAGGTGCTTCCAATGATTATGGTAAAGGTGAGTTTTTGAGAAATGGTGGTAATTATATAATGCTGCTTATCTATCTTCTGGTTGATTTGTTGAGAGAGAGAATATGCTCCTTTTCTTTTTCTGACAGGGCATAAAAACCGTTGAACGTGTTGTTATTGCCGAGAAAGAAAAGGAGAAAAAGAAAACCAAAGAGAATGAAGAAGAGAAGAAAAAGTACCGGTTGTTGGTAGAAGGGTTAGTTTGTTTAAACTTTTAATTGGATCCTACTCTTTGTACTCCAGTTAAGCAATAGTTTAGATTAATTTCATATGAGTTAACTCCCATATGCCTCATGTTGTAGTTTCTGTTCTTGTGGATATTTTGTTTTATGTGTATGTTTAATATAATCCTGAATTTCCCCTTGTGGACATACAACAATATTATTGTGAAAAAAAATCTGATTATTAGATAAAGAAGGAAAAAATTGCTATCAAGACATTAATACTATTTTTTGTATTATGAAGAGAGTTAAAAATAGTTAAGAGCTAGTTAACTGGTAAGGTTTCTTGTAGTTATACAATATGTATTAGGATCTAACTCCACTCACATTAGGGTTGAAGGGGTTTGAAGAGGGTTGAAAACACAAGTGATCAAAACCACAAGCAATTCATGGTTGTAAGTGGCTAAGTAAATATTTATGTAAACTTTGTTTCATTATTTATGAATTGAAAAACTCCTGTAAATATGAATATTTCAATGTTGACTGAATGTGTTAGTCCAAGCTTTTCATTGGTAGTGTGAGAAATCAACCATATGCTGTTAAGATAATAGTTTTACCAATCCTTTTGTTGAAACACAAATTATGGATTTCCTTTTCTGGATGGAAAAATGTAATGCTCATCTTTACAAGAGTAATTTTGATCTCTTGCTTCCACTGCAAGAGATATAACCAACGAGGCTATTCTTTTGGGGATGGAAACCTTGTCTTTTAAGGATTAACATGCTGCAAGATTGTACCTTTATGTCTGCCCCTGTTACCTAGCTTAGCACTAAATTTTCAGACTATTAAATTGTACAATTCTTGATGAAAAACTCAGGAACAGATTTATTAGAATAAAACTGTGAGATTGCCTCAATGAGTGGCAATAAGATTTCCTTGATGTATTATCTTGAGAGCTTCTTATATGCATTAGAACCAGTATTAGGCTCTCAGTTTTGACCTAGAAATTAACGATGTGGTTCTACGCAATGTAGCTCTCATTTGGACCCTAGGGTGAAACCATTTGTCTTAGTCTTTTTATGCATGAACTAAATAGATCACCACTGAACGCATTTCATGCCTCAACTAATGTGTCATCAACTATATTCTATTTGGAAACTTACAAGAGTCATGTTGACCCGGTTTATTTAGATTTTTTTTTTTTTTTTTTAAAAAATTTCGTTAGTGAAATATGTAATGCATTTCTATTATGTACTATATTTTGTGATTATTTTATTGTGTCTTGTCTTATGCCATATTTTAGCACTGGCCTCCAAGCAGTTATGGGCACTGAAGGAATTGATGGACAAAAAACAAAGAGTAATCACATTATTGAAGTACAACAGATTCTTGGAATCGAAGCTGCAAGAACATGCATAATTGATGAGATAAACGTGACCATGAAGCATCATGGCATGAGCATAGACATACGGCATATGATGCTTTTAGCAGATCTGATGACATTTAGGGTGAGCTATTCAGATTCTTTTCTGTGACATTGTGTTGCATTTATAACCCGAAACTGAAGCCAGTAAATTAACAATATCTTTCTCTTTTTTTTTTTCCCCTTAAAGCTTGCAATTATAGGAGATGATGTAAACTCACATGATTGATTATTCTAACAGGGAGAAGTTCTTGGAATCACAAGATTTGGAATTCAGAAAATGGACAAAAGTGTATTGATGTTGGCTTCATTTGAGAAGACAGCAGATCACCTCTTCAATGCTNAAGCTGCAAGAACATGCATAATTGATGAGATAAACGTGACCATGAAGCATCATGGCATGAGCATAGACATACGGCATATGATGCTTTTAGCAGATCTGATGACATTTAGGGTGAGTTATTCAGATTCTTTTCTGTGACATTGTGTTGCATTTATAACCCGAAACTGAAGCCAGCAAATTAAGAACATCTTTCTTCTTCTTTTTTCCCTTAAAGCTTGCAATTATAGGAGATGATGTAAACTCACATGATTGATTATTCTAACAGGGAGAAGTTCTTGGAATCACAAGATTTGGAATTCAGAAAATGGACAAAAGTGTATTGATGTTGGCTTCATTTGAGAAGACAGCAGATCACCTCTTCAATGCTTCTGTAAATGGGAGGGATGATAGGATTGAGGGAGTAAGTGAATGCATCATTATGGGAATACCTATGCAGATAGGTACTGGAATACTCAAAGTTAGACAAAGGTAACGGCACAATATATTTTACTACTGCAGAAAACCCATGTTTGTCTGATGCTTTAATAATATAAAGATTCAAACTATTTAAAAATTCACACTTTTTTTGAAACCCTCTTGTTTTCTTCAACACCTTGGTCAACACAAGCAGGATGGAGTTTTTTTATAGAATTTTTTTCACATATAAAAGTTCAAGCCATTAATGTGAGTTATAGAACATCGCCAAAAGGCTTTCTAAAAAATTATTTTTAATAAGCTTGTTTCCTTGACTAAACTAATACATGTTACTGTTTCATACATCATGGCTCTACCTAACATTTTGCTTTCAATTCTTTATAAACTTTTTGCTTTCAATTCTTTATAAACTTTTTACGATGTTGGGAATTATGTAAATTGTTAATGGAGATCCTTTGTTTATACCAAGTTTCTTAAGGCTATACGTAGGTCCAATGATTTGTAGTATGTTAGACCACTGATTTGCGGTTTATATTTGGTATCCCATAATAAAGGCTAATATTGTTTTCTATGAGCAGAGATATTGTGCCTCCGTTGCTGAGGTACGGGGGAGCAGATCCAATTATATCTTGACTTCAACGATTCCAGACTATGAAGCAAGATTTTCATGAGTTGCTGTGCTTATATGTCATCAGCATGAATTGAGAAAGCTGAAGGTTGCAAGGTGTTTGCTTAGAGACGTAAAAGATTGCTCATGTTAACTTTGTACATGTCAAGATATTTCAGACAATCAACTCAAATCAATACCCAGATTCACCACCCTCTGGAATGGCTTTCGCAACTTTGACAAAGTAATCTGCCTCAAATGTGGTGTTAAGCACACGGCTGAGGTCCATGGTAAAACGAATACTCAAACCAACAGCCGACATAAAGGAGCTCATCAGCAAGCTAAGAGTGTGGGAATTTGCAGGATATCTGACGTTTTTACCTTTTCTGTGGTGTAAAAAGAAGAATTTCTGAAGTATAGATGAGATAGTCTAAAATTTTGTCATCCAGAATTTTTCTTTTTAGGTATCTTCAAGTGAACAATAAATCCGACAAGCTTTGACTTGTGGGTCCTTGTTACACTTTTCCAACCTTCTTGTGAGGAAAAATGTAATTCCTACGAGTTTCGACTTTTCTGGTATTGGTGAATCAGTTTTCATTGTATTATAGGTAAAAGGATAAATGCCCATTCATGATTTACCAAGTTTTAATTAGTTTCTCTAAAATTTGAATAATTTTTTAAATCCTGCAAATATCAATTCCTTTTCAAACTATTTCAACCTAATGGTTGAAGATCACCACCCAATATTGTTTAGTTCTAATTTGATTTTCTCTTTACCTTTATAAACAAAGATCTGCCAGCAATGACGATAAACATAAAAACTGAGCCCTACGCCATTCATCTCCCAAGTTTTTCTTCTCCTACAAATATGTATTTCAAAGGTCTGTTTTGTGATTGAGTAGTCCATCGGCATTCCATTTTCCAGTGCAATTCCTAATTGTAAACCCCTCATTGATTGTCCTTCAGAAATCACAACCATTAAAAAAAAAAAAAAAAATCCTTTTTAGAGCGCTATTAATATAAGAATCAGATTTCTCCCGTCCATTCCCATTCTGTACATGAGCTGCTCCTTATGACAGGTTTCTGAATTTGATTAAAAAATGGCACTTTCTGAACAAATCTTCCAAGCAAAATTCACTCAGATAAAGAACCATAATTTTGCAGAGCCAATCTTATGCAGCTCTACAATTAAGGTCCATTTCAGTCTGCCAGTGCCATGACACCCACTACATGTAATCTTTCTCGTCTGCCACCACCTCTAGATATTTACACAGAATATACATTCTCAAGCATTGAGAGGCCACGAGCTTTTTCTTTTTGTGCAGTTTATAATACAAAAACAACGACATAATAAAGCAAATATAACTTACAAAATTTATTGATCTCCAATGCTCTTATCCATACATGTTACAAGGCCTCTCTGCATATAAAATATAAAATTCACAAGAAATAGAAACCCAAGTCCAAATGGATCTAAAAAAGAGAAATTTATGGGTAAAAAGAATGTCACTTCATATGTACAAATATGCTTTTAACTTTCTGTAGATTGTTTGACATACCGTTTATTTTGGATAATCGCAAACAGTTATTTGCAAATGGGAGCTATCCTGCTCGGCCGAATATTGCCTAATAAAAGCTCTTCTCCACCAGATCTCAAATGCTTTCTGAATATTGGGACAGTCAGCCCCTTTATTAAGAAACCGGTCAAACCAATTAAGCAAAATAGCCTGCTGTTGTAGCAATGGCAGGGTAAGAATTGTCTGGCTCAGACCATCCTCAACCAACTTCCTATCTACAGATCTACAAGCCCTTTTCATCCATCCAAAATCTTCATATAGAGCTTCCAACCATGTGGATAGCAAAGAAGACCGGGTGTCTTTTGGCACCAAGATAAGTCCTCTGCCAATCGCAATACATAGTTGGGCAGTGATTCTACTAATTTCATGTCGATACATGGTAGGAATCTTAGAATGAAGAATGGCAAGCTCTTTTTGATCTGCCCATACTTTAACAAATTCATCACATATTTTCTTGTCAATTAGGATATCAACAATCCAGTGCAAATTGTCAGCTTCTCGAGCTATTTCCGCCATTAAAACTCCTCTATCCCGTCTGCTATCATCTATACCTGTAGCTTCTGATAAGCAGAGGATCAGAGAACTAAGACATCTATGGCAGAGACTATAAAGGGTATCTTTAGAGACATTGTCATAGCCAGATGCATCTTCTTTAAGTAAACGAGAAATTACAGTTTTCATCTCTCGACGGGCTTTATCATCTTTGGCTTGTAGAACACCACTCAGCAGTTTCAAGAAGATGTCATCAGCTCTAGTAGATGTTGATGGTTCAGATGTTAGTCGCTGCAGAACTTCAGCTGCAGAGTCTTGAAGATCAAGTTCACTGAGAACGGATATGACTTTCTCTTCATCATCCTCGGACCATGGAACAGCTTCCAAATGCTCCAAGCATGACATAATTCCAGTATCAAACATGACTGCGGCAGAGACCTACAATGGAACACTATTACTACAAAAGTTTCACTATAATGGAAATTGAGCTTTCATGTTTTCGCTAGTTATTGACTGCTTGCCAACAAGGATTGGAGTAAACAAGATTAACTGATCTCCTTTAACATTGCTTGGTTTGTCAGAGACATAGGGGCTCAACCCAACAAATACAAGAAGTAAAATTCGAATTCCAATCAGCTAATTATTACAAATAATGAAAAGTCAAAGTTTCAGTCATGCAGCAACTAAATAAAAACATTTCGCCAGTAGCTAAATTTGATCCTATGAGGTCTATTCCCAGAACCACAAAGCTACAGCCAATTTGTAGAAAATTTCAAGTGCCGGACATAGCTAAATCTATATGCATTTCCTCGTTACTAAAATATCAAGGGTGCGTTTGTTTTAGTATTTTGGATAGTATTTTTAAAAAAGTAAGAGTTCGGTGGTTATTACGAGGTAGGATTTGAAAATTAACAAAAACACTCCTTAAGTTTGTTATTTTACTAAACATCCCTGTAATAAAACATTAAAAATTAACAAAAACACCCCCACCCCGGCACCCACCCATTAAATACCGGCAGCTGGCCACCGCCGCTAGAGGGTGGGCGGAGACATCGTATCGACGCAAGACCGGTTGGATCTGGCCGTGCGTCGATATGACTTTTTCCAGCCAGATTCACCGTGGATCTGGCCAAAAAAGGTCATATCTACGACTAGATCCGGCCATTGAACAAACCAAACTAATAAATAAATTAAGTAATTGCATAAAAAGTAATAAGTAAAAAAACAACAGTGCAATTCTACGGAAACTCAACAGAACTAAAAAGATCAACATAAAACATACAAAACAGAAAAATTGACATCTTTAATTTATTTATTTATTTTTATGTTCCTTAACTTTCACTGACTGTGACAACTCAAATCATGAGCCAATCCTAAAAGGCTAAAACCAATTTCCTAAACACCCATTTCAGTATACACACAGATAAAATTAAATTAGAAAAAAATAAAAATAAAATTTCCAACACTAATTTGCATCCTTTCATCCAATAATCACAAAATACAAAATTCAGTAAAAAAGAAAAAGACAATGCAAGCATGCAGTAACAATAAAAACATATGCAATTACCTTGAGCAAAGCCAAGACCCTGTCAAGATCCTCACCAAGCAGTCTCTTCTTCAAGTCCTCACAATACATCAACACCACTGTTTCCACATACACCTCCACATCATCACACTCGCTTATCTCCACCGTATGCAAAATCTCTCTGTTTTCTTTATCTTTTCTCGCCAATTTTTCGGCAAAAAACCTGCTCTTTTCAGCCAAAATTTTCTTGTGCACATCCATGCACACTCTAAACCCATCTTTACCAACCACTGTGAGCCTCACATCACCTGGTCCCAGCTCAACATAACTCAAACCATTACCAGGGCCTTTAGGATTTCTAAAGTCTGATAAAAGTTTAAAGATTCTTGATTGGGATTTGATGGGTTTGTTGGTCTCGTGTATCTGTTCCTGGGACATCATTTCGAAGAGAGTTGGGTGGTGGGTTGGTTGAGCATGACTGTGTCGAATTGACTCGGTGAGTTGGGGATGGGATTGTTGCGTTGATGCTGGTGGTGGCGAAGAGGAAGGAGAGTAGAGTCTTGATGGTGTTGCGGTGGTTCTTGACGGAGAAAATGAGAGTGTTTGGTCTGAAATAAAGCCTTGTTTGATCATAGCTGAGACCTCTCTTGTCGACATTGAATCTTTTGAGATTATAGTAAATTCGCAAGAAAATGAAAAAGCTTTCCGGAAAAGTTGAAATTTTTAACGGAGAAACAGATCAGAGAGAAGTGGGTATGCCTTGTTAATTAACAAGAACTGAAATTCTCTGGGAAAGTTGAGACATTTAACAGAAAGCAATAGAACAAAAAAATAAAAAAATAAAACTTGGTAGGATATTCTTGGAGAGATTTTCCAGGAAAGTGAAAAAAACAAGAGAGTGTGAATGTTAGCAAGAAAATGAAAAAGCTTTCCGGAAAAGTTGAAATTTTTAACCGAGAAACAGATAAGAGAGAAGTGGGTATTTCTTGTTAATTAACAAGAACTGAAATTCTCTGGGAAAGTTGAAACATTTAACAGAGAGCAATAGAACAAAAAAAACAAAAACTTGGTGGGATATTCTTGGAGAGATTTTCCAGGAAAGTGAAAAAAACAAGAGAGTGTGAGAATGTGTTGAAGTGGAAGTGGGAACCCCAAGTACTGAAGTGCCAGAGAGACTGAGAGAGTGAGTGTCTAAGCGTGGATCTAAAATGTAAATGTAAAAGCAGCGGAATGAAGTGGTAACTATGATTCATCAGTCATCACTATCAGTAAAGAAAAAGTTACAGTAACCTAAAAAAAATGCTGCTATTTTCTTTTATAAAGAAGATAGACAGTGATAATTGCTTGCACGTGCTTCCCTCCTTTCATCTTCCCTCACGGATTTCACAATTTATAAGTCACTGAAACTTCATATATTTTATCAAATAAAATTTTAAATAAAGACGGAAATTATAACGTTGAGCTGCTTGAGCATCTGGGCATCTGTCAAATTAACATTAAATGAAGATGTTATTACAGTATCATGACCATGACTGCCTAACAAGTAACAACTCCATTTTTCTGTTTCTTAATCCAAGATGAGTTGTTAAAGTCTTTAAGATTGGGATTGATTCCATTAAACTATTCTTTTCCTCTTTCCCTAGCTTAACTGTGGGACTGAAAGGCAGCTAATATTTATACAATCAATAATGTCATGGTCATCGGGATTGTGAACCGAATTTTTACACCGAATTACGTGTCATTTGACTCAGATCAGACACGTATCATTTTAACAAATATTTTGAAAGTGAACTATGAACGACGGGTCATTATTATTAGACAGACGTCCATCAAAGGTGGATGCCCGTCCATGCGAAATGAACAATAGACTCTCGTCCATAATAAATGGACTCCACCTATAATGAACGATGGACTTTCGTCCATACTATAGACGGGTATCCACCTATAATGGACGCCTATCCATAGTTTAAATTTAAAAAATTTGAAAACAAAAATCATGGACTCTCGTCCATATTCAATGGACGTTTGTCCAAACTTTAAATTAAAAAAAAATTATAAACAAAATTAACAGACGCCCGTTCATATGTTATGGACGGGCGTCCCTTAATAATGGACGGGACAAACTTAATGGACGCCCGTTCATATTTTATGGACCGGTGTCCCTTAATAATGGACGGGCATCCACATATAATGGACGTCCGTCCATACTTTAAATTAAACAAAAACTTATAAAACAAAATTTTTTGATGCCTGTCCATATGTTATGGACGGGCGTCCCTGATAAATGGACATGCTTCCTTATTAGATGGACGCCCTCCCATTGTTTAATGTCTATTTTAAAATGAAATTTAGGTCAAATTAAATTGGGCCGCTCTTCTTCTTCGTCGAAGTTCCTCACCTACCGCTATTCTTCTTCGTCGAAGTTCCTCACCTACCGCTCTTCTTCTTCGTCGAAGTTCCTCACCTACCGCTATTCTTCTTCGTAGAAGTTCCTCATCTGCTGCTATTCTTCTTCAAGTTCCTCATCTGTCATTATTATTGTAAGTGTTTTAGTCTATTTGATTTTTGTTCATCACGTTTTATTGGTTTTCATTGATGATTGAGCTTGTTTTACAGCGTTTACTTCTTTGTCTTGGTTCCTCATCTGCTGCTCCAAGTCATCGAAGCCATCTGCCATTTTTCAAGCAAGTGTTTCAGTTAATTTGGTTTGTGTTAATCATGTTTTATTGGGTTTGATTGATGATTGACATTGAGTGGCTAAGGTATGAAATATTGGTTATAACAATTCCATTATGGAAAGCAATTGATGAATGTGTTAATATTGTCGTCAAAGCCATCTGCCATTTTTGAGTGTGTATTTTTTGATGCAAAAGTTTGAATGAATTGCACTGAACAAATAATTGAAACCTGAATTTTTCTGAAGATATGTAGCCTTGCTTACTTGGAACTTGGGTAGCACATTTCTGTTCGGGTAGCACATCATCATTGTCATTTTTAATTGTCTAAAACGAAATAGAAAGTTACCAAACTGTGGCTTTTATTTTTCAAACAAAAACCTGGTAAATTAGTCTCTCGCCATCATTATGTGTCTGACAGTTTTGCAACCAAACTGAACTTGTTTTGTTGATAGTTTAGGTGTCATTGTTATTGTTATAATAATATCATCGTTGTCATTTTTTAATGTCTAAAACGAAATAGAAAGGTACCAAATTGGTCACTCACCATCACTACCCTTTTGCAAGGAAGCCCATTTTCAAGATCGGGGATTGTGCCATTTAAAAAGTGTGATTTTGTGGTTGTTAAACCACCCAATGGTATCTCTTAAGTCATTTTGTATTTCTGTATTCTAGTCACCAACTTTTACTATCATTCATAGATTGTACACTGCCTTGGAGGAATCGTTTTATTTAAAATCATAGTCAATTTTCTTTTGAGCCTAGCTTCATCATCTGAGGCTGAAATCTTCACAAAGCAAGTAGTTCTAACCCTGGCTGGTAACTGATCAGCTTATACATGAATACTAAATGCCTTCATAATCCTAGTTGACAAGGGTAGATAAATCAAAATTTAACTTAGAGGGTAGCTTAGAACATCAAAGTCATGAGAAGGCTGAGCTTGAAAGTTAGTAAATAAAGGATTTTGACAACTTTGCTGGCCAGAATGGAGAATGTGTTTGTGGTCAATTGTTGTTGATTTACAGTATGGAGACACAACATGATGCTTGTTAATTTAAACTTGACAAGGTTTCCATTGATTTTTGCTTTTGTCAAAAATGACATAGAGATTGTCTTTTAGAAGCAACTCGATAATTGTCATTTTGTAGATTTGGAGTCAAGTAGAGAAGACTTTCTAAAGGATTTTATGGTATCAGCTTGGTAGAATTGACTTGTTTCTGTATTGGCAGTCCTAAATATAAACCTGAATCTTAAGAAAGTTGGGGCTTAATACACAAACCTGCATCTAAAGATGTCAATCAAAACCTACCATTTTAAAAATAATAAGAGCAGTAAAAAAAAAAAGCATATTTAACTATGCATAGAAGTAATATTCAGACACTGTGAGAAATGAAGGAATCTTTACCTACCATTCTTATTGACACTTTTGCATCTTTCAAACTTTTTTAGTTATGACTGATTATAATAATGAATTTTTTATGTATACAGGTTTTAGAAGAAATGAGAAAATGGTAAGAGCAGAAAATACAACCATTCCTCATGAAGGCACATCGTCATCTGGAATCCAATTTCGAGACTTGTGCATAAAAAGCAATACGAGGAGGTGTCGAAAAGAGATATTTGCCTTGGAAGAAGTTTGGATTTAGGACTTATAACAAGTTTGGGTTTATTTGATGAAATGAATGGTTGGATTCATTATTTGAAATGGGACCAATTGGTGAGTGTTAGATATGATGGATATCAGCATTTGATCTATGAGTTTTTTGGTAGTTTGGAAGTTATGGAGACAGATACTAATGAGTTTCCGGCTTATACAATGTTATTTAGATTAAAGAATCATAACCTTATAGTGAGACCACAAGATTTGGCAACCTGGATAGGATTTGATTTTGAAGGTTTGGATAACGTATCTAAAACGTGGGATTCCAAACAAGCTTGGACGAATGTTTCTAGTGTAGGGATTTACCATCCACATAGGTGTAAATTTACAAAGTTAAAAAATCCTGCTATGAGAGTATTTCACAAATATCTGACTTACACATTTAATGGTAGGAAAAAGACAAATGGAAATGTGACGATTAAGGATTTAATGTTCATGAAAGCTGCAATAGCAGGGAGGCAAGTAAATTCAGCAAAGTTATTGATTAAGAAGTTGGGAGAGGTTCAAGCAGAAAAAGGAGAAATATAGTGGGGGATATTTGTTACGTTAATATGTGAGAAGTTGGGTATTCAGATCACCCCTAATGATGAAGCAAATAAGATTAAATTTTCTGCAAATAATTTGTTGGGGGATGTGACATTATATAAAATGGGTATGATTAAAAAGAATATGGGAGGAGAATGGTTTGTGATTAGGGATGAAATGGAGGGAGATGCAACGGTTCAGGAATGTGTCAGTGTTCCAGAATGGGTAAATGAAGGACAAGTCTATGTGCGCAAAAGAAGAAGAATTAGTATTGAACCTAGATCATCTCAGAATGTACAAGATATGTATTCTCATACTTTAGACGAAATAGGAAGCAGATTTGAACGGATCGAAAAGTTTCAAGAGGAGTGTTTTTCATGTATTGAGAGGAAAATGCAGAAATAGCAAGATCAGTTGCAAAGTGATTTCAACTCGTTCGCATCAAGAATGGAAGAAACGGTTGACATCTTTGGGGAACACATGACATAAATTTTCAGCATGATGAAGAACTTCTCAATAGTCTTCTCCTCTTTCAGTTAACCTTCACCCCCTGCACCATGATGAAGAATTTCTCAACAGCCTCCTTCTTGTCAACGTCCTTGGGGAACGCACTATGAATGGTAATTGTCATTATGTGTGGTTCAAATACTAAGCTTTATATACGAAGATTATATTTGCCTTTTGTTTATAAATATATTAATTGTTAAAGATTGATTTCAGCAGATGTTCTTGATAAAGATTGCCTTTTGTTTATAAATATATTTACCTTTTGTTTATACATATCTCAACTGCTCTTTTGAATGCATATGTATATGTAATACTAGACATACCAAAAAACATCAAAATTCAAATCTCAAATGAAATGTATATCCAAAATTCCATTAAGGTCATTATCATGAATTCGCAACCCTACAGCAGATAGCCTACTCATACACAACCAAGGACCAAAATACTAAAAACAAAACAACTGAATCAGCATACAACTCAACTGCATTTGTCAGAAATTAACCAAAGCATGAATAATTTTTACCAAATATAATTCTATATGCTTCAACCTGTCAACAACATCAAATCTCTCTCAACGAAACATGTTACCTAATACAGAAATTACTTTTTCCTGTGAAATTCTAAACTGGACCAGTAGACAATTGTCAATGTTTAACAACCACAATTTAGCACACGTTATAGAAAACTTAAGCCAATTACAATTATACAACATACATAACACATACCTAGGTAGCAACAACATCATTCGACAACACTTAAGTTTTTGGTATACTTTCAACAATGTTGATGTA